GAGCTGAAATTTTTTTAGCAATTTTCATATAACTTTATGTATAGTTTAAAACATGAGAGAGAGAGAGTGTTTTATCAGGTATAAATTTTCGAGCCGAAGGATCATGTGATGGTGAGTTCTACATGATAGAAAGATTCTCAAAAGCTTCTCAAACGAATCGAGGTGCGAGGACTGATAAACAAAAATAATTGTGTTAAAAGATAAATTTAACACCGTAAAAAAGTATATGAAATAACTTACTGACGTTTCGGACGTTAATCCTTCATCTCTTTACTCCGACGAAGGATTAACGTCCGAAACGTCAGTAAGTTATTTCACATACTTTTTTTACGGTGTTAAATTTATCTTTTTACACAACTRTTTCTTTAGAAACACCGACGCAGCTCACACTAGTTTACCGCTAGCTAGTTACCCACCATTAAACAAAAATATACTKTCCTTCACTAGGAATAATGGCAAGTTTGTCTTATATTCATCAGATATAAAATTTTTATTGGAACTTGTGTAATTCAGATATCTTCTTGGCCACGGTATGTTAAAAAAATCCWTATAAAAAATTTCATGATGTATTAAGACTTGCACAGTTGTAACTATGAGACTTTGTACTGAACATTRCATCATAATCACCATAATTTTGTTTGTGTGAGGGTATGACGTAATTAATGACGTTATGCATATGTCCCGCGAGTGCTCATGGATACAGTACCCGATGATTTGTTCTTGATACCAAGTATCTTCTTGAATCCTGACTTGAATTGATCCCCAAGGAAAGCGTATAGGATTGGATTGCTCGCGCTATTGAAGTACATCAGTACTTGACAATAAGACTGTAGTAGGTATAACACATTCGGCGTCTCACTACAGTCAAAGTAAATTTCAGAATTAATTATGGGGCACTGAGGTTGAGATAAATGATTGGGGTGCTCTGATATATAAGTTGAAAAACACTCGAGAAGCAAGAGAAACACTCGCTATGCTCGTGTTCCTAAGCTTGCTTCTTTCGTGTTTTTCGAACTCCCACCGTATTTAYATCAGAGGACAGAGAACGCGCGCCGTTTTATATTTCTTAATTATAGTACATTCATGCAATGTTTGTGAGGGTACACACATTTTCAYGGCCATACTTGTTGTCGGAAAATTTGTGGATATACAGAAATGTCCTTTGTCGTGTGGATAGGGCATATTATGATATTACTTTGAATAGAACGGTATCCTAGCTTCTATCTTGTTAATGCAGTCAACCGACACTGGTGAAAAACGAACTGCGCATTTCCACTGATTTCCCGCCAGTGAGCGCTCGCGTCTTGAAATCTGCCTTTTTTATTTGTAAACAGAGCACATGGCGATTTTTGTGAACGTTTTTTTACAAGTTATAAGCTCGTTAACCGATATATGTGATTCAAATTTCCATCAATCTTTGTTCATGATAGGTTCTTTTAGTATGTATAGTTTCTATTTTTATCTTGAGAAAATGTAGTGTTTTAATTCGTAGTGTTTTCTGTGATAAATTAGGCAGATTTCAAGACGCGCGCGCTCACTGGCGGGAAAGCTGTGTGTGGACATGAGCAGTGCGTTTTTCACCAGTGTCGAGTCAATTTCTTGTAAAAAAACCTAAAGTGATAAGAGTGGAAATACTCATTCAAGTGAAAAGCATTGTGATCAGAGAAAACAAGCAAGCAATATCTCAAAACGAAAGTGCAACGCAAGTCGCTGGAAGAAACGAATAGCATTTTGAAGTGATTATCTCGCATTTTATGTTGTTGTTGCGTGTAGTAGCGTTGCAACGAAGTAGAACWCAGGCCGAGTTTTTGCAATGGTTCTWGCTCATAGCTTACCTAGGCTAAAAAATATTGTAAGGTGCAGTGGAAAGTTTCAAAGTCTTTTTTTCTTAAMAGTGGAAAAGCACTTTTAAACGCTACTGCGCATGTCCAAAACTTAAATGTTATTCGATCCATTGCTAATATTGAATGGCGAAATGTTCAAAGACGTACTTTGGGTCCTACATATCAAACAATTGCCAACATTGGCGCGGGCTACCTGTGTCTTTTGTGGGATTCCTTATTTTCAAGGATGGGAGGGGACTAGGACAAAATTATAATGGCCGACATGTTGAAAAGCGATTTCTCTGCAAATTCTGTAAGTTTTAGCCATTTTAAAGCACTAAAAGGTGGAAAAAACTTGAAAAAAAAGGTATAAGGTAAGATTACCATATATAGTCAGCAAAAGTTTGGCAAACGAATGAATGTTTCTCTGAGGCAATTGTTTGATATGATTATTTTCGGTCATTTTAAAAGAAATGTAATCTCAAAATTGAATCTATACAGGTACATGCTTACAATTTACCTTTCAACCGTCATCGTTAGGAAGAATATTGTGTGATTCGGCAAATAACATAGAGCATAACACACAACCACAGCAACAAGCATTTTGATGATTTTCTTGGTCATCTGAGCCGCTTGAAAACCAGGCCGATCAGCGGCATCGGCAATAGCTTCCCGTAACTTGAGACCAATCCTTATATAGAGAATGATGATTAAAGGCAGAGGAATGGCGTACGTCAGTAAGAATGACAATACAGTATAGGCGAGAGCCAGCTTACTAGATTTAGTAAGAGGATCGAAATCAGGCCAATTTTCGCYACACAAGATATTCTGATTTTYTCCTGGTGCTGGAGAAGTATCCATAACTCCGAGCATCGGCAATGCCGGGAAAAGCGCACTTAACCATATAAGGGCAATGATGAGCCTTCCTTGTGTGATACTGATGCGTGGATTGAATGGGTACACAATGGACTGATGTCGATCTGAAAATGAATTTTGGTACATCATATTACAAACTGCATGATTGTTTGATGGATTGATAAGTTATGAAACAGCTACAATATTATACTATCGCAAACAAATCCCTTAAGCAGTGCAAATTATAATAATATAACAAAGAGAAATGTATTAATGATTAACTGTTGACGTTGCATCAATCTCTTTTAGATATCTAAAGGACCGTTTWCACTTGCACATTTTGCGACGCAAACTACTTGTCGCACGACAATCGCTACTTTGCTATTGCGCACCTCAAATCGTATGTGTAGACAGACGTGTGGTCGTCGCGCGAGACCATCGATTGTGTTTCGAATATGCCTGAAATTTAGTTGCAGCTTCGCGGCGATTTTCGCTCAAAAAGGTACAAAGTTTACCATCCATACCAGACTGCGCAAAATTCCCACAACCGAGCATACTCAAGAGCACTTTTTATCAATTTGAAATGAAGTCGTGCGACGATTGACACGACAATCGTGTTTGTCGCGCGACAATTGCGGTACAAAAATTGCAAGTGTAACGAGCCTTAAGTAAGTTTCAGAGAGCCCATTSCAGTGTTGATTGCTTGCTTACCTACAGAAATTGCCAGCAGTGTTGCGACTGATCCCATCAAGAAAAATATTTGTAGAGACGGCACCAGTTTGCACATGAAAAATCCAAATGGCCAATTAAAATCGAGTTCAAAGTATATTACTGTAAAAGGAATGCAGAGTAGTCCAACTCCCAAATCTGCAATGGCCAGGTTGGCAATCAAGTACCCAGTAACTAGAGAGATAACAAAATGCAGCTCAAGTTGAACATCAGCAACATAACATTATCTATTACAACATACAAAAACTGAGATTACATCAATCAAACAAATTTTAACTATTAATGAATTCAAGTCAGATCGTTTAAATTCTTCTCTTACGGATATCGTCTGTGTCGAATTGAAGCCGATTAACACCAAAATACACACTAAACGAAATACCTGTTTACAAATACAATAGGTTTTTTCTATTATTCCGTGCTCAATTGGGATCCCTGTGTCTATCGTAACGGTGTGAAATCGTGAATGGCTGCAAACAACGAAAAAGAACCACCGGAACATAGTCCACTACAGGTAATTGATTATGAATAAAGACAATACAAGCTTCACATTTAATAAACCTGCATTTGACAGTTAAAGACACTAATTTCGAAAACCGTCGTGGATACGCAGAGACAGACGTTTGTCGATCGGCGATTGCACGACCATGGGACAATGGTTGCCCTTTTTAATTTACAAAAATTCACTTGCTTGGTTAACCTTGTCTATTGAAAATGGATACTAAATGGAGGCAATGGCTACTACACATATTGTGTTACATTATAAATCAGTTGTTATKTCCCATCAATTATCAAATCCCATGACTCCTTTCGGTAGTGCAATTGCCTTTTGACAGTAATTGACATTTGTCATTTTTTTTCCCAAAAAAACCTTTCATGGAAAAGGTATAAGTCAGAGAATAATAGTTTGTCCATAGCACTCTGAATGAATTGATTGTTAGTATTCTTTTGTGCTTTGCCAAGAATGCCTAGACTGAACAATTCATTCTCATTGCACGACACAAAATGAAAACGATTCATTAGCCGCAAACAAAATCTTCACTAGACATCCAGTGGAAATTGATTTTTGTTTAGTTTTATTGACCTTTAGTGTATTAGTGCCCAATAATTACTTATATAGTTTCCGCCTATCACAGATAAGAAAGGTCAACATACATTAAAGATTTAGTCAATCTAAGTATTGATGTGTCTGATAGTAATTGAGGGGGTCACAGCCATGYTTGCTATTGATCACATGATAAGGAATCGAGTAATGGCAGAAACGCATAAGGGACCTGACGATGTAGCACGGCTCGATGCTACGGAATTAAAAAAAATGGTTAAAATAGTTTTCATAGCCRCGCGCATAATCGGCAGTCGAAGGCAATGCAAAATATCCATCAGAAATGCAAATATTGTAGTAGTTTACAAGTCTAAAAATATCAGACTTATTTTAGAATCAGTTGTCAGTGGAGATATCGCACATTCGATGCATAACACAAAGGAATTTACGAGCTCGTTAGACGTTTCAATCATCATATCATCAGTTTCTGGTAATGACGAGCACGAGAAAAACTCCATCTTAACTCTTCAGTCATCATTCAAATGGATTAAAAGAAGAGGAAATAAAACCTTGATCAAACACTTCAAATTCAGAAAGAAATCATTCCAGTCTTGATGAGGGTCTCGAAGGTTGTGTCCGTTCGACGGTTGACAGTTACCCCAATTGAGACTGTCAGTCCTCGCTGTAATTTCGTCAGACGTAAAATTCTGTGTTAAAATGTTTTCGTACGACGTAGGATTCATTATTTAAATACTCACGTACGAACTGTAATTTCATTTTGCCCTGATGACAGACAAGTTGTCCGAAAGCTCAGAAAATTAAAACTAACGTAGAAGAAAAAAAASTGAGTATTTAAGTAAAATTCTGTATTTGAAGAAGTTATTATCGCTAATGTGTCGGGGTTTTTTTAATCTTCATCCAATGATCTGTTTTATGTTTCAGTTCATTTTAAAAACTCTTTCTCCATTTTAGTTAGTTTAGATTGGTTACTTTCAATTAATTAAAAAATGCCTTAATTACGTTCATTACGTATTACACGTACCCTGCTATGCAGGGGGTACGTGTAGTAAAATGCTGACACTTTCTTGTTTGTTTTTTTTTCACAATGTCGAAAGTTTGGCTTCGGTACATCTTCGTAGCCAATCACATTGTAAATTATATATCCGGTAGCCAATCACATTACGTTGTGTATTCCGAACGCTAGCGCTGTAGCCTGTCGATAATCCCGTTCGCAACATTTCCAACTCGTTCTGCACAATGTTTTATCCGCCATTTTGATGAATATTGTCTCTACTAACGAATATGGAACAGAACATGAAGGTTTACGACCAAAATCTGGAACTCATTACTTTTCTGGGTGTTCGGACCAAGGGTATGTTGAATTGTGATGACGAGGAGATCTCATTACAGAGATCAACACGCTTACTACTCGTGAAGCAACGGCAACGATATAGTGATTGGGTTCCAATGATTGAATATCAATACAACTCTTTAGAAAATGCTTATTAATTCCATGGCTATTCAAACATCTGCAATAGATATGTCGAGTTTTAATGTAGATGTGCAAAAATATTGTGTTACTATCATATCAAAAGTTAATAAAGCGTCACGTAACCAAATCATGCCTAGTTATATATCTGCGGGTATATCTGACCTTAAAATTATACTGCAGAATCACAAAGGCAGTTACAGCTGAAATTTTAAGAGCCACCACATATAAGCTTATCGCAAAAATCACATATATCTTGGCAAGGCTCGATGGATCAAATCATTTCTTTATTCTGTATCAGTAAGGTTTTAATAAGGCCTTTACTAATGATCTCACAACATCATGCACAACAAAGGGTACGTGTCAACCCTGCATACAGGGTCTAGTTTCTATTCTCAAATATGATGGATAAATGTTTAAACTTTTTGAGCCCAAACTACATAAAATTGAGCCGTCTAATTGTCGAAGATATTAGTATTCAAAACTTTTATTCAACAGTACTCCAGTATTCCAGGGGCTTAGTTTTTCCAAGAGGACAAGAGGCCCTGGCATTCACCTGTCAAATATGTGGATTTCGCTGTAGCCTGCGTAGCGGCCCTCGCTGAGTCTGTCGCTGTATCATTTTTCAGCGGTATAACATAAAAGCAACAATGAGATTGTCCAGTGCTAAGGTTTTCTCTGACTATTATTTCGAATAATAGAAAGCAGAGAGGCCCTGGGGACGAGGATGGCTTCTATTGGAATATCATTAGTTTGAGGTCAAAGATGATCTCGGATCAGTCAAATTTACGTTCAAGGAAAATATATCTATTCGATACATGATGTCGGAGGTTACTCGAGTGAGAATAACATTTCTTGTCTGTTCTTGAATTTTCACGATAATTGGCTCAAACGTGATCTCAACTAAATTGATTGGGTGAGCCTGCCAAGATATTCACAGTGATTCTCATCTCGATTTGACAATCACATTCCCCTAATATCGATGTCACTAGTTTTAGAMTAATAACGATGAGGTATGCTTGGTATTTGTTTTGCTAATGGGTTATTGTTCGACATCTGAAGGATTTCTAGCTTTATACAGGCTTTCGTGGTGGCCTTGATGGGCCACTAAGAAGTTGACAAAGAAAACAGTTTGTACTTAAATCTTCAAACGAACTTAGCACGACTTAAACATGGTTTGTCTTTTGACAGATTGAACATGGCAAAATACAATCAATTMATTAAATATAAGCTGTGACTTTTGCTTTGAGCTAACGCGAAAGACGTCCCAAAAAATGGAACAAGCCACTAAAGTTTTTAGCCAATGGATGAAAGCTTGCCCAGTTCGTCTGCGGAACATTTTCTTCAAAAAAATAGTTTGTTCAAAAAAACCTTCCTTGAGTGCATGGTTTTTTTTTTCGCTTCCCAACTACTCCTCAAAATTATTATTTGCAGCTATCGGGGCGGATTTTGTTGAAAGGTGGCTCTCGTCAAAATGCAGCTAATTATATATACACTGTGGTGTGACCTCCTCGCTAAATCGAAACATATTTATGGCATATTGTCGATTATTAGCAAACAGGTTATCATCGGAAAATATGCAGGCAGGGATAACCGAAGATTATTGTCCTACATTGTAGCTTCATATTCTGTTGGTTGGTTGTGTTGGGTGCATTTCATTATTACTATGATTTCTCTCATTTTTCTTCATGTGTTATCTGATTTTGTTGTTTGGAGTTATTTTATTATTGTTATTTCTAAATTGTTTATAGATTCCTTTTGTGCAAAATGCTTAGATTAGGCGTTAAAAAACACGATTTTACTTCATGGCTTTGCCTTGAATTTTACGTCGATCGTTCCTATCAGTAAATCGAAGATGCACGTCCAGGGCCTTTTTACAAAATACTAACGATCAAACACTCCTGGCGAACGCAGCCTCTCATTCGGCAACTGCTTTTAAAYATGGAAAGTTGTAAGCTATCACATTTCAAAAATCCAAAATTAAAAATTGATTTGAAGTTTGGTAGTTAAAAAGTCTGCGTGAGTRCCGAATACTGCTGAAAACAATTAACACTAAATACAAATCACTAGCATATAAACCCATGCTGACAAAAATCGCAAGTTTGACTTCCGCACACAAGAACTATTTCCGCAAATCATTCTTACACACGCTGACAATTATCAAACTGCCAATCAAATCAGTGGAAAAGCTTGTGCGGAAACAAGCTGGTACCTACTCGAAGATCAACCGACGAAACCATAGATCGCCGCGAGTGGTTGATATGCTGCACAAACTTAGATTAAATCGGAGTTTGCCTCACGTGCATTTTCCACATAAATGATTACTCATTTGTGGTGTACCATTAATGATGTCTTGTAAATATTGCTGATTCCATAATTTCCCTTTATTTTTTCCTTTCTGTTTTCCTTGATTTATTGATCGATCTAAGTTGTTAATCTTTCTCTGTCCTTTTTTGTCTTTTTTTATTGTCTTCCTTGTTGTTGTTGTTTCTATTTTTTTTCCCTCTAATTACTCTATTACCTTTTATTTTGTTATGATTTTTGATTTGACCTTGTACATTGTATTTTTCTTTGTTCTTTAATTACATTATTTAGTTGCCTTTCTCATGCCTGCTCGATACAGCAATATTTTTAGCAGCTGAAGATTTCAATATATGTCATACTCAGGGACGCCGGATCAGTTTTTTGATTGGGGCGTACTAAGCAATTCCCTAACTATCCACCCATATCATTCACTAATTTCTGATTTTCAATATGTTTGCTGTTATTAATATAATTAATTCGCAAGAATTAAAGAAAAAAAATATCGGCAGAAAATTATGAATATTCCCGGAAGATTCTAGTAAAAATACGAAAGTCAAATCCCATTTTAGTAGGTTTGGTATCTTTAGGAGCCATTGCCAACCGTGATCCTTTACGATCTTCAGTCAAGTAAAACTGTAAGTGCTATGTATGAAGGACGTGATGCCTTAAAAACCATAAAAACCGGGAAGAATTGAAACGCCTATAAAAAAATGCCTACTAGTTTTGAATGGTTTTTAATCTGAAACTGATTTATATTCAGATTTCTTTGCGATTTTTATCTCACATCATCAGCGTARCATCCATGACTAATCKTTTTGATTTTAGCTAAACCWTTAATTASTGTGCTGGCCGTATGGCTTRCTAATTGCTGTAAACATCATACCACAAAAATGCATTCTATGTTATTAGCAAAAACTCCCGAATATAGACATTGATTTTGCCGTAAGTTGACTAATTGAGTAGATCGAGGGGGATGGGTGGTRACCGGGCGGATATAGATGACATTACGAGTAAATCTCTGTTGAATACAGTGTTTCGTGACCCTGAGTGAAGTGCAGGAATTCATTCGATGCAATAATGACCCATGAAATATTACCCGATAACTTCACGCCCCTTCAAAGCAAGCCGAAAACACATACGCATTATTCAAAATTCTTACTTTCTCGTTAAGTTTAAAGTAAACTCTGGGGTTGTACGAATTACGTAAGGTATTGTTATTCAAATGAAAGAGTATGAAGGAACAGCCGCGCTATGTGTGTGAACAAGCCCGGAAATCCACAAGGATTGAATATCGGCGTATCATTATTGGATCTTAGCCGAGGAAAACATTATCATCGCATTCACACACATCAATGAACAAGTTGTAGTACGTATGTCACACAGTGTATAATAATAGATGCTATCGCTACTTAAAACAGGAAGGTACGAAGAATTTAGTAGTCATCTATGCATGATACTCATCGAGATATCCACAGTCGCTAGGTGATGATGTTATTACCCTATGGTTAATTGAATAACCTTCAACAAGCTGTGATATTCGCACATTAAAAACACCCTCAATTGYATAGAATTGAACTTCAATTGGCGCTAAGCTTAAGATTGAAAAGTACTCCTGAAAAAAGCTTTGGGTATTATTGTAAAGAGATTGACAGCGCTCCAGGGATTTAACTAATGGCCCAGCGAACACTAAATAAGCAAAAGTACCGAATGTACTATCTATTGTAAATCCCTTACAATAGTTAGACTCCTCTGTCTGCCGCTATGATCAGTTTACTGTCAAATACTCTTTGTATAAACATATATACATATATTGCGCCCTGGCGGAGGAACGTGTTTAAAAGTCGTCGCACAATAAATCAAAGACTCTCAAAATAGCAACATTTTTATGGTTAATTAAGGGCTTTAGAACGTTTTAGGGAGTTTATTTGTATGTTTGCTCGATTCATTAATAGGTTACGAAGAGCTGACCTTCAGAAAGCTTTTGAATACAATATTTGCCATAAAGTAGCAGTAATTCCATCGACTCAAGCATATTTGTATGTAATCGGTTTTAATTAAAACACCAGACTATAATTGAATTCTAAAGTTTTCAAGAGGATTTGTACTTAGACAAAAGGAGTGCTTTTTTTGTTGTCGTCCGAATGATAAACAGTTGTGAAAGACTCCGAATAAGAAATAAAAATGTTCTAACACAGTARCACGTCTTGTCAAAGGAATCTATCACCAGATTTAACACACAGCGTTCAATAATGTCAACTATTCACTTACCGGTGTGTAGTTCCTTAGTCTTGTAAACCACGAATATCACCAATGAGTTGCCAAAAACGGCTATGAGAAAGATGATGATGTACGTTGCTAGACGAATAACTCTCATAAAAAGAGGCTCCTCTATCCTTGCTGTTCCCATCGGGCCTGGTGGCGGTGCTGTTGTTGAAATATTCAAGGTCGAATTGACCATAGATTCAAGTAAGGTTGTATTGTTGAACATTGTAGTAGTTGATTCAATCCCCTTCAGTTTGTAGTTTTGTTTTCCATTCAGTTCCTAGGACGCGTCTTGGACCCTCCTCGTTGAAAAACCACGTTCATATGCAATGCCTACAATCAAATTGACAGATCAACTCAGTATAATGGTGATTTAGTGTGTCTTCTGTCTTCCAGCGTCTTAATGAAACTCAATCTGAGTTTACAAAGCAAACACGGGGAAAGTGGGACCTATACCTATCGAGTTACGTTAGTAAATAGTGCCATCGGTATTTGGTGGCTCTAAAAGCATGCAGACGTCATTTTTCACCGGGTCATAGGCAGACACGCGTCATATATTGAGCACATCAATTATGATATTGACCACTCCTAATAATATATACAAAGCTAACTTCAATGCTCAGTAAGCTAGAGATAATACCGTRCTTTTCCTTTGATAATCTATTATTGTTGCGTACCGCAGGCATTGTGATTTTTAATAACGGGAGATGGCTACTCTTCCAGGGTGTCTTATCAACAGAATTGAGTCATAGCGTTGTTAGTATCGCATTAGGGTAGCGATATGGCCGATCATAAGGCCATAACCCTTCATCTAGATGGCTAAATCTAATTAACCAAATAACCAAAATACAATGACAAGATTAATTAATTATAGCCTTAATTCTGAAAGTATGAAGGTATTTTGGCACTAYGCTCATTAGTAGCTTATCAGAAAGTTTAAAATACCAGTGTTCCAAAACTATAGCAAACAAAGTAAGGGTGCTTCAAAGATTCTTATAAAACTACTCCATAGGAACGGAACTTGATTTTCTACATAATAAAACAAGTTTATTTTATTAATCTTTGCCAAGGCCACACTGAGGCGCCAGGACTTTAGAATGTTTGATGTCAGATTAAGAAAATCTGCTTTTCATATGGGCGAAAAATCCCAAACCCTCTGCCAAGGGAGGTCTCAAGGTAAAGCTGGACTAGAGATATTGGCCAGGCTTTCTTTAATAATAACAACCTTTATAAAAGCGCTCATAACTTTGCTTGAATAATTTATGATTTTGTTATTAAAACGTAATGAAACCCTTCACGAATACAATAAAAGTGTGGTGTACTGTCAAAAATTRTAATTACAATCATAAGTGCTGTTGACTCTAGGATTTTTTACTAGCTAATATCGATTTAGTAATTTGTCATGCGAAACCAAGAATCATTATTTTGAAGGAGTTAAAAGCACGTTTATTGAAATTAAACCTTTACTTCAGACTCWGTAATAAAAGTGGCGCGCATTTGTGACAACATTCGAATTAAAAGTTGTTTGCATTGTGTCAATAAACTAAACAAAACAATCAAAAACAAGAGCTGGATGTACTTCCTTTCGATAAATTTACCTTCATTAGTTTTCTTTTCTAATTCTTTAGCAAACTGCGTCCACTATGACATCATTTGCTTATCATTTGATTGATTTACGCTGGCAGCAGTGAAAATCAAAGTTATTTTTGTCCGCAGTAAATGATATAGGAAATAATGCTGTGGGAAAAACGATTAYAGTTAATACAAACAGTAAAGTTTGCGTTCGTAATTTCACGTTTCTTAGAACACTGCTTTTCACGGAAACGTGCACAGCTTTCGAATATAGCAAGAAAAATAAGCCTCTATTCATGTGACAAATAAAATTAGATGATTTTACGATGGTCAGGAGGTCGTGCCATAGTCATGCTAAACCTCGGAGGTTACTATATTCGACTAGACTTTAGTTTTTTATAAAAAAATTTTATTACAACAAGTATTCCATTAGACTTTGCCGTGGGCTTTTACTGTGTAAAAATATAAAACGAAAATGGCTTTAAAATGACAAAGTCTTTTCCTATATTCACAGTGCGCGTCGACTTCCTTTATCTTGGCTTCACTTACGTCTCAAAACAAATCTTGTTTCTGTTTTATTAAATGGAAATCACTTTACCGCCTTAACAATAACTAAAACATGATATTCCTTATCATATTATTTACCTGCAACTGAAGACTTCGTAACATTCACCTCACGTMCGTCTTCACMAAAACTCAACAAACTCCCTACMGCGACTGTATAATTTACAATACTATTCCAGTTCTTTGAGATATAATACTAATGGTRGCGCGCGMCATTGTTGTGTAAGTATCTCCGCCTTTGGCCCCAGGGCAGTTAGTCACATGGTGATTATAGCACACTTTTTCGATGATTAAATATAATGGGCAGTTCTTAAGGTGGTTCGCTGACCGTGTGTGAAAAACACTTTGGTCGAACTAATTACTTTAGATCTGATTACARCTCCTTAGCGGTTGCTTAAAAACCCTTCACACTTACAGCAGATGGTACTGACCAACACATTCCTGCTTTTCTTTCATTCTGTTTTTCCATCAATTTTTCTAGTATTTTTAACTTTTCGTATCCTATTTTCTGAGTTATTTTTGTAATTTTCGATATCTGACCAGGAGAAATGTGCTAATATTGTATATAGAAGTAACAAGGCTCGAATTGGTTTTAAAATCATTACAGTATATAATTGATGATGGCCAACTGAACTAACTGGGATACCGGGAAGGATACAGATCCAATCTGTCAGGATATGCAGTATATGTCTTAGCTTCCTGGAACGGCTTTAATAAGTCTTTTTTGCAAAAAACCGTTTTTTTCGTTACTTCGACGATAGGATTTATACACGTCTGACTGAAATAATTGCAAAAACGCCAAGAGCTTTATACTTATAAAAATAATTAAAAAAGAACACTTGACAGAGCCTTTTGACGCTTGAATTATTTTCATTAATAAATTTCAGATATATTCCTTTCCTCTATTTTTTATCTATTTATTTATTTGATTTTTGTTTTTTTATTTTTTGTTTTTATTTTATTTTTTTTATTTTTTTATTTTTTTGCTTTATAATTATTTTTGTCTTTTTAAGAAAAAATATTTTGTTGCGGTAATCTAAGTGAAATCGCTTCCAAACGTATACACATTGTTCTTTGTCTGCAAACTGCAAAGAAGTTTGTGTTTATTAACAAATTACGTCTCGTGGACAATGGACTGGCAGCCAATTACCTATAAGGCAAAGGCCGAGTGAAATATATATATTATCTTGTTCTTACGCTTGCGCTTATGCAAAGGCCAATGTCTTATGTCACGCCCTTGACGTATTCCTTTGAATGTTTCCTGCTTACCCCTATTGTATCTGATTATAGAGAGACGAAGGATTAACATCGTGTGAAACATTCAAAGGTTAATGGCTGACAATACAATCATTTTTGAAATRTTTTGCTGTATGCCATGAACAAAATTGTAGCGTCTGTGTAAGACGACAACAGTTCAAGTCCGTTGTCATAAWGAGAGAAAGTACGTAATGACTATATCTGCGAAATAGCACTCACAAATAGGCCTAAAAGGCAGGGTGATMCATCTCAGATATAATCCCATATTTTGCAATAAATTCCCGGCTTTTTTTTACAATTGTTTTCATTTCTGATGATGGCGTAAATAACGCCGAAACATGTCAAATATACCACATTTAAAAATCGTAATCGTCATTTTAAAATTACAATTTTTTTATTTCTAAGGTCGGTTGTTGGAGGGAGCACCGGATACACGACCGAAAGCATGTCTGGGTATTCCGTTTTGACGGACTAATATTCGTTTTATATTCTTTAATCGATGAAACGAGCTAACGACTATCATCAGGGCGAGACATCAAACTTTATTTTCGCCGAACTTCAGTCTGTTCAAGTTTGTCTTTATAATCAGACTTCGGAAGCCTTTAAAGGCAATATATTTAAAACGATAAAAAAGTTGTAATTAGTGTGAAGTAAAGTTCCGCAAAAGTCTCGCTCTCAATACAAATGAGCTCGTAACAATGACTTCCGCTTGTAAGTTCAAGAGTAGAAACAAAGTCGACGCATTTGACCCTAAGAATCTCATATACTGCTGGCCTGTTAGCATATTTGAAAACGTTGAACTTTCAGAGTTGATTAGCCATAAAACGATGCATAATCTCTCTTACATTTTACAGTTAAGAAGACAAATAAATAAAAAACAAACATAAAAACAAACAAAGAAAAGAAAAAAGGTACTCGTTGAGCATTTCAGCACAAAKGCTTAAACCTGACAAGAACGCTAGTACTAGTTGCTACGCGGTCTTTTGCTTTGGCGAGGTTTAACAATATACAAATTAGGGAGTTTGCTTTCAATGCTTTTAATTTAATTTTYATTTTCCATCTTTGTTGTTATTGGCAGCAGAATTTGACGTCATCTTGATATGCATAGTTTGTCATTGACGTAAGATGTAACGTGACAAAGCTGGGATTCAAAATTGCAAATCCGGCAGAATGAGCTATTCGGTGTTTCTGATGAAACATTAGTGACAAAATAAACACCGTGAAATAATAGAATAGTTACTGACATTTTTAGGAAGTGTGTATAATATTAGTAAWAGAAATGCTTGGCGTCAAATCAAAGTGAATAGTAAAACGAGTTGGGCCTCCTGTGGCCAAAGGTCTGATTAACAATTCGATCGATCACATGACCAAACACGTGAAAGTGTGTTGTTTGCAATTTCTTTATAATGTAGTATTTGGAATATTACGCGATCTTGGATTGGTCGTTAACCATTTTCTATTCATTGTCACCCAAGGATGACTCCATTCAGTCTTACAAGGTCTCTGATTGGTCAGAACTAGCACGTGCACTCTACTGGCATATAATCGTTTCAATGAAATTAAGCACGGGCCAAAGGAAATTTGTAAAGTGTAATATTATTTAAAACAAATTTTTCGCTTGATAGTGCGCCTGCACTCTAAAGTATAGACCCAGAAGACGGCAGAATAGAACAACACGTTTATCTTGGGGTAATTTTAGTTGACATGGCATTTTGACGTCATTGTGCATKGATGCCAAAACAAAAAATATATATGTGATGTTATTTTCGTGGTCATGATATTAGATTAAATGACACTATTGATTAGTCTAAGCGTATTTTTAGACTTGAAATAGATTGATTAGATTGYATTGCATTTAGAACACTTTTAGAATAACATTAGTTTTTAAGAAAAAATGTGATTCCATAGAATATATATCTCTCAAAGGATTGTGGTAGTTG